TAAGGAGGGGAAATCTATTTCTCATGGAAGGAAGGAAGGAAGGAAGGAAGGAAGGAAGGAAGGAAGGAAGGAAGGAAGGAAGGAAGGAAGGAAGGGAGGGAGGGAGGGAGGAAGGGAGGAAGGGAGGGAAGGAAGGGAGGAAGGAGGAGGGAGGGAGGAAGGAAGGAAGAAGGAAGGAGGAAAGGCAGGAAGGAGGAAAGGCAGGAAGGGAGGAAAAGAAGTGGGAGCGATCTGAACAGAGCAGGCACGTCTTTCAGGAGCTGGAGAGAAAGCAACCGGCCTGCCCGGCCCCCTGCCCGGCCTTGGGCCCTCCAGCCTCCCTCCCGCCCACCCTGGCCCCGGCGCGGCGCGAACTCACCTTGCGGGCGCATCCAGGGGAAAAGCTGTGTGGGCGACGGGCTCTGCTCGGAGCCCTCGGCCTCCTCGCCAAGGCCGCTGGCGGCTGCGAGCTTGCAGTCGGCGTACTGCACCAGGTCTGGGTCCTGCGCCCCGAACAGGCTCTGCCGCTGCAGCGGGTCGTAGCCGTAGAAGTTGCCCGGGTCCCCGTGGCACGCCACGGCGCACGGGTTCTGCTGGTAGGGCGCCGTGGACAGCGAGGACGGCCCGTGGTAGAACTCCTGGATTTGCGACGGGTGCTGGAAGCTGCCGCCGCTGCTGGGACCGTACACCACGGTGGGTCGGCCGCCCAGGTCCTGGGCGAAGCCGCAGTCATAATAATTGGGGCGCAGGGACTCCCCGGTTTTGTATTTGGAGAACAGTGAGTTGACGAAATAAGAGCTCATTTTATTGAATTTTGAGGCGGCGGCGGCGGCGGCGGCTGTAGTTGGGGGCTGTTGGGGAGGGGGTGGGGAGGGGGAAAGGGAGGGAGAGAGAGAAAAAAAACGCGGATTCGCCGGCTCCCAGTCACCCTCGCCAGGAAAGGAGAGGGAAAGGGAGGAGGGGGGGAAAGAAAAGAAAGAAAAGGCGAAGAAGCTCTCGAAGCCACCACACTTTTTGTGATTTCCAGGAATAGGGAAGGACAGCGAAGCCTCCAAAAGTCTTACGCCTGCATGGCAGCCGCGGCTCGCTCGCCCTCCCCCCACCCCCCACCCCCCAAACAAAAATATACCGCCACTTAAAGAGGTCCTCGCTTTACATTTCGAAGAAGGGATGCCAGTTCATAAACAGTTTTCGGTGATTTACTTCCCTGCAAATGAGTTGTTTCATATTTTGCACTGTCTTTTCATGATCATTTGCATCCATTAGAGACCCCGCATCCTATTGGCTTCTCCGTGCTCCTCCCGGACAGAACGCAGAGCGAGGGTGAGAGCGAGCGAGAGCGAGCAAGAGAGAGAGAGAGCGAGAGCGCCAGGGAGTGAAGAGAGAGTGGGAAAAAAAAGGAGGGGAAGAAAAAAAAAACACCCAGGGAGCGAGGGGAGAGGGAGAGGGGGTGAGAGAGAGAATGAATACGGATTAAATCTGTTTAACTACCTACATTAATGAGATATCTCTCGCCTCACAACAAATCAAATACCTTCGCAGACCACCCCCAAAGACTGATGTGGGGGAGTCACGGAAAAGAACACGCACACACACATACACAACGCGCCAGGCGTAGGCACGCTGTTAATTTCGCGATTTTAACGAGGCAGTTGGAGTCTTTTTAAATGTCAGGGTCGCTTCGGAAAAATGTAAAAGAACACGGTTTAATTGCGCCGAGTTTTAAAAGGTCCTATAAATGTAATTGGTATTTTAATACAAGTTATCAAATCATACAGCTTCCTCTCCTAAACATATTTTCAAACAAACGAGGTAGTCATATTTAAAGCTTTAATGATCAATTTCCTTATTATTGATAAAGGTTTAACTATCGTGTGGAGGGAATTGGCTGGGTAACCGGCCCCCAAAAAAACGGCTGTAAACTCTTTAACAAACTATAAAATGCAATAAAGCCAGAGTCTGTTGTTGTTTATGCCGCAGCGCATAAAAGCTGTTAGCATTTTACGAGTTCTTTCCTCTACAGCTATAAAACTGCAGCTTCGATCGTCCCCGCCGCCCGACTGCAGCACGGTGGGGGTGACGAAGCTGAAATGAGACCGATTATGGGTTTTTTTTCGGCGCAAACGGTGATTTCTCTGAGATTTTTCTCCTTCAGCTGTAGCAAGCACCTGCCCCCACCTCTCTCTGGAGCCCCACACGGCAGTGTCTCTGCCCCACCCAGGCCATGCACCAACTTTCACACATTAAGCAAAACAAGCAAGGGTTTTTCCGCTGGCCGGGTCCAGGAGGGTGTGAGGGGAAATCAGGAGGGCAGGAGAAACTTCTGGTTAATGGGCAGTGATTAAGCACACGGCAAAGTCACTTGCAAGGGCGGATTTGCAGCTCTGCAGACCTCAGTGGGCCTGGGGCCTGGGTGCTGCTGTGAGAGAGGGGTCTCCACCAGGCCCTGGGGACCAAGCTGTGCTTTGGGGGGGCCAACAATGCATGAGGAGAGTGGTTCTGAGGCCACCATCATTAATACCCGGTCAGGCTGCCTCACTCCTGCACCCAGGCCTTGGGATTCAGGAACCAAACCCAGGAGGCCCTCAACCTTCCCAAATCAACCCTCCCCACCTTCTGTACCTCCCTTATGGGAGAGGGTACCACCCAGCACATCAGCACATCCAGGGGAGGGAAGAGCAATGGAGGAGGCTTCTGGGCACCTTGGCGCCTGGCCTTGGTGCCCCTTGGCCAGGGCTTTCCTTTGCCCTTGGCAGTGGCTGCAAAGGGTGTTTGTGTCTAGCCTCATTGTCCTTTGCACCGCTGTCATTACCTAAACTGACCTTTGGGCAAAGGGTCTGGGCCGTATTGTCTCTCCCTTTGGGGAGCCTCCATGTAAACCTGGTTTTCCTTCCAGACCTGAGGACCTGGGGCCTAAAAGCACAGGGTGCAGGAAGAAGTGCCAGAGCTGCTCGCTTCTGCCCTCTCCTCTCCAGCCTCTCCTTGGTAAACAGTGGGCGGCAGTTTGTTAGAAGGCCTCAGTTTGACCATCAGAACCCAGGGCCTCCTGAGGCAAAGCACTGGCCAAGGAAAGTAAAGAAGGATGAGGGGAAAAAATATAGCACAAAGGTGGGGGGCTGATGATTTAGTGGAGAGTGGTTTGTTTCTTTTGGAGGGGGGCTTCTGGAAGGTTCCACCACCCCAGCCATAATAAAAATGAAACCGGTACCCTTAGCAAAGGGAAGTTACCAGTGGGGTCACTTTGTCCTTCCAAAGTGAATCCAGAGAATGGGAGAGGGGCTGACAGTGAGGGAGAAAGGGAGAAAGAAAAAAAGGGAAGACTAGAAGCAGGGTCTTGGGTGTTCAGCGCCAGTCCAGTCTGTGGGGGCGGGGAGGCCGGGAGGGCAGAGTTAAGTTGTTGCAGAGCAAACATTTTTATCAAGTGCGGGGATTTTATGGTCATGATTTGAGGACTCACCGGTGAGGTAGAAATTCAATGGCTTGTTCTAAATCATCCCTACACTGCGCCAGAAATTCTTGATGGAAGGAAAATGTTTCTATTATAAGAAAAAACAAGAAAGCGCAGGAGATAATTTATAAACACCCAACGGAGCGCAGATTTATTAGAGAAACTCAAGTTGAGGAGAAACTCCGCTTGCTTCTTTGCACCCGGTGCTGGAAGAGAGGAGGCTCCAGTGGGGCGAATTTTAAGGAGGGGAAATCTATTTCTCATGCAGGTTTGTGGGGATGGGGACACCGATCGGGCTGGACCGGGAGGAGAGTGGAAATTTGAAATCCAGGAGCTTTGGGCAGAGAACACGCGCTAACGAAAAATGCCCCGAATCCTGACCTTCAGCTGCTAAACTACGAAATAATCTGTTTCCCCCGCCCCACGGCGGGGCCGGGCCGAGGTGCAGGCGATGCAGCTCTCACCTGGAAGCCGCTGGAGGCAGAGAGAACCGCGCACCCGCTTCCTGTTGCCCTGCCGGCCCCCACTTGTACCCAGGAAATGTGCTTTTTAATTTTTTTGGCCACCCAACTTAGGGCGTGCAGAAGACCGAGGACAGCCGCGCCTCTCCGCACCTCTCCTCTCGGGAGCGCCCCCGCTCCGCGCCCGACCACCCGGAGCCCAGCCCAGCCCAGCCCAGCCCCAGACGCGCACAAAGGCTCTGTCCATGCGGGTCGCCCCGCGCCTTTGAGCACCTCCGAATTCCCACAAAAGCCACAGATCCATTTCCCCAAATTATCCCCCAACCCGCCCCGCTCGGCTCACCAGGCTCCCTCTCCTGCGGGGCCCCTCAGGTTCGGGGCAGCTTCTCCTCCTTCCGACCTTCTCCGGCCCCCGCCTTCTCACCTGACCTGCTCACCCGCCTCCGCAGACTTTCCTCTCGTTGCCCTCCCCGGAAAAACTCCTTTCCCTAACCAAATCTCCGCTTTTATTAGGCTCTATTATTCCTATTATTAGTACTATTCCCCGTTTTCATGCATTTGTTACTCTCACCAAACACAGAAACTGGGTAAGAAACACTGAGCCCTCCTAGGGAAATTCAGAAAATTGACCATATGAAGGGAGGGGACCAAACTACTAAATCTGAAATCTATAAAACGGGGAGAAAGGCCATAACGAACCCTATATTTTGATTACGCTCAAATTATTCCTGACTTTTGGTAGCGCTCAGTCCGTAGATTCTGGGCAGACTAAGGTGAGATCCGCGACCGGCTGCGCGCACAGCCGCCGCGCTGGGGATTTTCACGTGGAGCAAGGGTGCCATCTACCGGCCGTGTGGAGAAACGGCGCGCTACCCGCTCGGCGGCTTTCTCCAAGAGCCACCACCGAAGCGGCCAGTGGGTGAAACTTTCTTTATTAGCAGAAAAGCTGGAAGGGGGGAGGGGAAGCATCGGAAATCGGGAAATGGTTCATGAAATTGTGAAGATAAGCTACAAAAAAGCACAGGGCGAGGGAGTGAGGAGGAAAAATAAGTCACAAGCTTTTTTTCTCTCCTACTTACACGGGTCTCCCCCATCAGCCTCTAATTTCTGGCGGAGGCCGCCAAGCAAAACGCCGTTTATGGTCCGTAAAGAGGGGGACTGAGCACTTTCCAAGCCCAACACGATTGTCTCAAATTCTGAAGAGAAACAATTGGGCTTTTTTGGGGGGGAGTGTGGGCCTGAGAGGGTGGGATGGGAGTGTAAAAAGCATCCAGAGGCTGCCGCGCCCAGACGTCTGCCCCACCCGACCTCTGTGTATGTGTGTCTGTCTGTCTGTCTGCGTGTGTGCAGGGGACTCCTCCTTTATGGCGCCCGATTCTGGAGGGGTGTGAAGAACAAAGACATGCGTCCGAATTGCGTTCTCTGAAGCATACGTGACAACAAAGTATCTTCCCTCCTCCCTTCCTCTTCTGCCCCCTTTGCCCCCTGGGGACCCCCCCAACCCCAGGTCCCCAGTCCGAGGTGGGTGAGGGTGGGGGCTGCAGGAGTCAGGCCCACCCGCTGGCCCAGCAAGCCCGGGGTCCATCCCAGCTGCGCGGCTCCAGCTCCGGAAAGTTTCCTTCACTGTTTGCTTTGCTGCTGTTTAGTTTCTTAACCTTCAGAAATTTATACGCTATAAACTTTTATAGCGGTCATATTCTTTTATTGCTGCGCACACGGCATTGAATTCCTCTCCTGGCTTCTCTGTCTCTCACTCTCGCGGTCTCCCTCTCTGAATCCCTCTCTCTTTTATGACAACAGATTTCCCCATCTCAGCTTCCGAGCCTCCGCATCTTCGCCTTTGTTTGTCTTTAAAGAAGCCACCGGGCTGTGGACCCAGACGCCGCCCCCGGCTAGCCCCGGCGCCCTCGCCCCGGCCCCGCACACGCCTGCCGGTTCCAGCCTCGCCTTTGCGTTTCGGGGTGAATGTGGCCTTCTGGGCTCACTCCCGGCGTCGGCCGGCTCCGGGGGCGCAGGGTGGGCAGGGCGTCTAGCTTACTGGGGCTCTAAAGCCAGATTTATTTTAGACCCCAGTGGACCGTCCTGGGAGGATGCGGGCCAGGCCATACTCCTGAGCCGTGCGTTCTCCTGCCTGCGCGCTCACTCCGATTAGTTCTCGCTGGCGTTCGCCGGACCGGGGTAGGCTTGGCCTTTTCGTTTCCAGGCTCCTTTCACTCGGGTCAAGCTTTGTCCCCACCTCTACTACACCCCTCAGGATCTCCGCGGGCCGCCGGGCGCGGCGAGGGCCGGGTGGGAGGCTCCGGAGGGAGGCTGGACTCCAGCTCAGCCCAGCAGAAGGAATCCCAAGCCCGGGACGGGACGAGAGGCGCCGCAGACGCCGGGAACAGCGGTCTTCCTAAGAGGCGCTGGTGGGGGCGGGCGCCTCCAGTAGAAAGGTGCTTCTGGAAACTGAATTTAATTCTGGGGTCAGATTGGAAGGCTTTGCTTTGTGTTTTCCTCCTGAGATGTCTCTGTTCCATGCTCACTCCCCTCTCCCCTCCCTCCGGAGCTGCCCGGGGCCTCCACCCCTACCAAATTCAATCAGCCTTACACCATAGCTGCTACCCTGGGCTCAGGTGGGAGCTTCAACCTGGGGGTAGGGACTGAGACCCAATGGGGTTCCCTTCTTATGGATGGAAGAAAGGAGAGCTGTGACCTTCCCGAATCTGAGTACAGCCACCCGGCTGAAGGGGAGAACAGGAGGGGCCGCTGCCTAGCTTGCTGACATATTGCAAGGTGGCCAAGCCAAAGTGAGGTGCTCAGGGCTGAGAGGGCCACCCCAGAAGCAGACTGCCCCTCTGGCTCTGGAGTTGCTGGAGGGGTCCCCTGTGCAACTCTGTTTGGAGGAGAGCACGTTACTCCCTGCAGGTCCAGACCCCTCTCTAACCTGCTTATCTTTTCTTCCCCTCCAAGCCCACCTTGCCCAAAGTGAAGACTGGCTGGCTTAAACCACGGTTTGGGGATCTGCAGTCCTAACCCATTGCTCAGCCCCACCAGGGAGGCTGTCCTGCAAGAGCTCAGGAAACCTCTGGGGTGGGTACAAGAGTCTCTCTTCTTTCCAAGTTGCCCTCTTGAACCTAGGAGATGTGCCTCCAGCCAGGTGAGGAGAGCCAACACAGAAGACACAAGGAGAAATTTATTTTCTAGGTTGATATATATTTTTTGTTCTTTTTCTTGTTTTTTTCTTCCAAAACAAACAATCAACTCTAGACACCCCCTTCCCCCCCCCACAACCCACCCATATAAGCGACAACTGAAACAGGCCAGATAATCACCCCCAAAGAAATCACAAAACACAGCACAAGTTCACAACAGCCACCAACAAAGCAAGAAAGTTCTACTGGGACATCCCCTTGCAGGGTCAGGAGAAGCAGGAGCAAGAGTCCGCGGAACTGAAGGGGGCTGGGAGGGGGTCAGGGAGGAGAAGGGAAACAGGGAGCGAACTTCGGCCAGATGATTGAGGTGCAATTCGCCTCTTCCTTTGCACACGGGACTGCTCCCCAGAAGCTTGCGCACAGCGGCAGGCTGATCACTGTCCAGGCCCGATTCGTGGGAGCACAGCCCAGCGCTGGGGCAGGTCTCGCTCTGCTCTGGGGCAGGCAGTGGCTGAGGTGGGGCCTCTCTGCCTGGGTCTGCAGCTGGGTGGGATAAGGAGACTGTGCCCAGTTCTGAGCACTGCAGCCTCTGCTTCTCCCTGTCCTGACCATTTACTCCAGAAGGGAGCTGGGAATCGATCCACAATAAATTCTCAATTGGATTCTCCTGACCTGGCTTTCCAGACGCGGGTGGGGTTGTGCTAGTAGAGAATGGGGGTTGGAGGGGTTTTTTCTGCAAGGGGTGACTTGACTCACTAGTGCAAGGTGGGTTTAGCTGAACAGTGTAAAAGTCAGAGCTGAGAGGGATGCGGAAGAATGCAGAGCCCAGGCAGAGCAAGAGAAGCTACAGTCTCTGTCAAGCTGGGCACAGATGGACCAGAGGATGACCTTGTCAGAACTTACGACCCATGATCTGACCTCCTTTTGCTGGAAAGAGAGGAAAACGACATGCAGAATGAAACATTTCCTGCAACAAAATGTGTGTGTGTGTGTGTGTGTGTGTGTGTGTATAGAATAATTTCATGAGACCAGTGCTGCCTTTCACTGCTTTTTCTAGCCCGCCAACTTGGGGTCTGAGTGTACCCCATTTGTTCTTGGGCCCCTGCTTGGGTATAGCTGAGGTTTCTCTAAGCGATGACACCCAGCCCTTGGGGCTGCAGCACCTCATTTAGGAGTGTGTCTCTAAACAGCTTGGGGTGTATTTGTGGCAGGACTGAGCCCTGGGCTTGTCTGATAGTCTGTGGGCTGTTCTTCCAGATTTCCAATGCTATCATCTGCCTTTGGAGTGTCACTTCATTGAAGTGTTGGCTGTGAGTTTTCCCCATTGTTACTGTGGACTCCAGGTTTTATGGGTTCGGATGTCTATGTGTCTATGTGCAGGGGTGTCCCTCGGTGACTTTGGGAGCAGGCAGGCTGGAAGGGAGGTGCTGGGGCTTCCCAGAAAAACTAGGGGAGTTGCTAAGGGCTCAACTAGGTTCTCTCTTTCCTGTGGCCCATCACCTTCTTAGGAACCAACTACTGCTACATTCTACATCAACAAAAGTTCCTCTTGAGGCCCAGGGAGAAGAAAGGACAGGTAAGGAAGAGCAAAGGAGAGGAGAGAGATGCAGAAAAGGCCTTTGAAGAGAAAGGCCCCCTTCCCCACTCACTTGACGGCTCCCACACAGCTTTGGCTCTGCAGCCATCACTTATAAATAAGAGTGAGGTGGGAAGGGGTGGAGGGGCTGAGGGTAATCTTTACTCCTTGCCCTGCTCCTTATTCATTTTCTTCATTTTCATCCGCCGGTTCTGAAACCAAATTTTGACTTGTCTCTCACTCAGATTGAGGAGTCTGGCCACTTCGTGCCTACGGTCCCTGGTGAGGTACATATTGAACAGAAACTCCTTCTCTAGCTCCAGCGTCTGGTATTTGGTGTAGGGACAGCGCTTTTTCCGGGAAGAGCGAGCGTGCAGCCAGTTGGCGGAGGGATTGGCTGAAAGAGAAGTAGCGATAGAATCAAAGAAGGGAAGGGGAGAAGAAGGGCCCCAGTGTTCTCCTTCTGAGAGGGTACACTCTGCGCTCCAGTCCCCATCTCACATGCAGAAAAAGGCGCTTGGGTCTTCAAGTTCCCAGAAAGACCAGAGATGGGCCAGTAGTTGCTACAGACACCTCCAGGCGAGAGGTTGTTTGGACAAGATGGAACCAAATAAGCACCCAGGGTTCTCAGCACACCCAAGCTGCCTGCCTCAGGTTCTCTCTGATCTCTTTCTTCACTTGAGTGCTAACTGATTAGGACTGGGGCCAGAGCTGGCTGCCCCAGCCATCACCAGGGAGAGGCATCTGACCTGAGGGTCTGGGAGGTGGGCTGGGGGAGAGCAGCGTGTGCCATTCAGCCCCAGCCCCAGCAGCCTCCTGTCTCCGGTCCAGTCCAAGCATACCCTACCTTGATCACAAGCCTGCATCTTTTGACCATTCGCAGCAGGCCTGTGTGTCCATGTTGAGATCATGCCCCACCACCGCCACACACCGAAATTATGGGTCCACACTGAGAGTCACAAACATCCAGTACACTCCAATTCACATGCAGCCCTATTGCAACCATTTATCAACTCCAGCCTGTGGACAAGGGAGCGCCAGGGGCTCACAGATAACTTATGGTTGCAATCTCTCCTTTTCCGCTGCTGTTCAGCTCACAGTTTGGTTAAAGCAAGTTCAGGGAAACTGGGAAGCAAGATTACTCTAGTCCCAAGGTGGGGAGCCGTGGATGACATGGGGGTAACAGAGAGCTCTTCACAGAACACCTAACTCCAATAGCCTCTATGTGAGAAGGACAGAGGAAGGGGTAATTGAGTGGAAGGAGGGGGAGAAAGAAAAATATACACAGGCTTCTTGTCTCCTTACCATCTCGCTCCTTACTGTGGAACTCAGAAAAGTTGCCAAATAAAGCAGAACCAATTAAAAATAACAGCCACCCTCTGCTATACTTCTCCCAAAATGAAAAGCACTGAACATTAAAAAAAAAAAATCTGGTTCATCCTATACTAAGTACCGTGTCTTACCAATTTGCAGCGCTATTTCCTTAATGTGATTGCCTGGGAGGGGACCCGTAGCCACATTAAATATGAAAGAGGGGGGAAACTGTTAATAATTGATCCTAGCCAAGCCACTGTCTGCAATAATGGGCTTTCCAGGCAGTTTGGAGTTTTGGGGTGAGGGGTCTGTCTGGGTGTGAAGAGGGAGGATTTGGGAAGAGCCTGTGTTACCCAAAGGGCCACTCTTGTGATCCCAACTGGCAGGTTGGAGGTGATAGGAGTCGGCTGGGACCTTAGGGGAGTGGGACTGGCTCCCCCACAGGGCTAGGAGGGCATCCCCACTGGTCTGGGGATAGCTACGGTTTTGTGTGGGGTTAAGGGGTCCCCAACCAATTTGCCCCGCTCAACCTTAAAAACACGGAAAATATGAGACTCCCCCCATGCCACCTCTCACCCCCAGGGAGCAGCACCTCCTGGAAATTAGCCAGACTTGGCGGGGGTGCTTCTGGAGGAGTGGGAGGTGGTGAGAAACCGCCACCGAAGGGTAAAGTTCTCCGCCTCTCCGCAAGTCTCTCCCCCCACCCTCCCTCTCCCCAGGGTCCCTTCGGGATCTCTCCCGCTCCACTCCAGCGGTCAGCCCCGAAGTTGGGCAGCGATTCCCCGACTCCCCGCGAGGCGGACAGCTCTGGCTGGAGCTAGGCAGCCCGGTGAAGAGCAGCCGGGCCCGCAGGAAAAGGAAGCCGCTACCCCGAACGGGGATGCCACGGAGGGGAGGGGGCGGCTGCAGGGACGGGTCCCGGGGAGGGGCCGGCGCATCCGGGGAGGGGGCTCAGTCCGCGGGTCCCGGGCTTCCCCGCCCCTCCCGGCGGTGGCCGAGGACCCAGGGCGGCTCAGGATCTGCTAGGAACAATCCTCCGCCAAGCTGTTGCATCGCAAATAAAATCCTAATGAGCCCCCTCCCACTTCCCCTTGGCCGGCTTTTACAGTCTGCGCGTGGCGCGGGGAGCTCTGCCAGCCGCCGGCCCGGGCAGCCCCGGATGCTCCGGCCCCTGCCCGCGCGGGTTCTCTGCCTCTCTAGCAGCCGGCTTCGACCCAGCCGGCTCCTCTCTGCACCCGCCTCCGTCCGCCTCTTTCCGGCGTAGAGCCCGGGGCCTGCGGGAGAGTGGGGGAAGGGAGGACCCGAGAGCCGCGAGGGGGTCCCTGCGCCCAGTTCCCTCCGGGACGGGGGCGTGTGGAGGCGGCGCTGCCCCGGCGGCCTCAGTCTCCCCTACTGGGACACTCAGCTCCCTTCCTCCCTGACCCCTCCACCCCCGCCCGCCACCGGGCGGCCACCGCCGCGGTTTCCCTTCACATTGTCCGCAGTTTATTGCCTCTCCCCTCCCCCTCGCCTGGCCTTCGGCCTGGGTATTTCCTCACTTTTTATAACTTACTTTGATCCGGCCTCTCTTTGTCCTCGCTTCCTTCGCAAATTTTATTGTCCCCGTAGCCGGGTCTTTGATTAGACAGGACGGCCTCCCTGCCCGCCGAAGTTTCCAAACTGTACTCGGGCGTGCCCTGTTTGAGCAGCTCCCCTGGCGCACCCAGCAGCGGCTCCGCCTTCACCGCCGCCTGGCCCTGCCCCGGGGCAGCTTCGCCGCGCGGCGCGGGCTCCAGCCAGGTGCGGAGGTACCTGCTCTCGGCCGGCGGGACGCCCTGGGGCTGGATGTAGGGGTGGTAGACGGACGGCAGGCTTCCCGACGCGTGCGGGCTGAGCGGCGCCCAGGACGCGCCGAACACCGGCGCCTTGGGCTGGAAGCTGCACGAGGGGAACTCCAGGTGCTCCGCGTGGCCCGGCTGCCGGGGGCTCGCGTACTGGCCGGAAGGAAACTTGGCTGGAGGCGCGTCCTCACTCTCGTGACTTATGATCGAGTCGACATAATAGCTGCTAAGCGTCCCAGAAATGGACATTCTCAGACATTATCCGGGCGCTCGCAGGGGGAAGGGAAGCGCTCGCGCGGCGGCGCCCAAGCAGGGAGAGGTGGCACCCAGACCGGTGTGAGGGCTTTCGGACGCGACCCCCCCAGCCCCCCACCCTCCCACCCCCACCCCCTGCTCAACTTCTCAGCCAACAAAGTACAGTGGAGCAGCCCGGCTCAGCGCTCCTTGCAAAATGATTGGTCAAAGTTTTTCCGACTGCCTGATAAAGCGTCAGCTCGGACATAAATCAATCGGGCGAGGGGGCTGCGCTCTCGCTGTCATCCGTCCGCACCGCATTCCATATCGAGGATGGATTGTTTTATGCTGATGCAATGTGCTATCACGTCAGGGCTCCGGCGGCCACGTAACCTCAGCCGGAGCTGCCGGCCGCCCGCCCCCCCCCCACCCCTCTTTGCAGAGAGGGGGGGGTGAGTTCTCGATACTGGGCGGCAGGGCGGAGGAGAGGCGGAGGAAAGCAGCGGGCTGCCTGGGAGGGACGCAGGCTGTGAAGCCCTCTCCCCTGGCGGGTCAGGAAGGGAGAGAGGAAGAGCAGGGTCCAGGGAGAGCGCCCAGCATGGGGAGCACTCAGAGAGACCCCAGCACGTAATGAAAGAGGAAGGGGTCCTGTCACCCCACCCCCAAACACACCTGCACTGCACCGGGTAGGCCCTGTTTCCTCTTCTCTGTCCCTTGACACAAGATGTTTATTAAACAGCGCCGCAGCAATTCACTGGAGGTGGGGGGAGGTTACAGGACGGAATCTGCTTCAGAGGGGGCTCTCTGTGATTATTTCTGCACGTTTACAGGCCTGGGAGCTTCTCCTGACCCCTCAGGAGCTGAGAGATGAGATGAGGGGATGAAAGGGAGTGATTGTCCAAGGATTCTGGCCTAAAATTAGAACCCGCATGAGGTTAAAGGGATTCATAAGGCCTTGGAAACTTGAGCCTCTGAAAGAGTTTAATACAACTATCAAAGCTTTAAATTTCTGGGGCCTCTCAGGCACTGACCAGAGAGAAGTGGGGTGGAGGGAAGCAGGTCTTTTCTTCACTGTGTAACAACCCAGATGGAGGCGCTGAATGGGAGAACTGGTTAAGGGAGCTTCCCCAAGGTATCAGCAGTGCAGAGGTGTGCAAAGGAGTACAGAGTTTTCATCCCTTCCTCCCACAGAGGAAAAGGACAGGTCAGAGGCTCCCCTCCATTCAGGCAGCCTCCTTTCACTCGCCTCCTTTCACTCGGTACTGCAGCTTAGAGAGATTCCCAAATATCTGGGTAGGGCACCGGCAGATACAGCCTGAGCCCCTGGGGTCAGTCTCCAGCACTCCCATGGCCTTCCCTCCCCGGGACTCACTCGCTGGCTCGCTGGAGCTTCCAAACAGCAGGTTTTGTTGGTATCTGCTTAGGCCGCCCAGCACAGGGCCTCCCCCAGGCCCACCGGCTGGCTTCCTGGCTCGTCTCCCAGCCTTTCCCCTCCAGCTTCTACCCGGGGTGCAATTGCTTCCTCTGGTGTGGGGCGCACTGGGAGGCTGGGCCCAGGACAGCCTTCACTCTCCTCTGGCTGCATTTAGGACAGATTTTCTTGGCATTCCCCTACCCCTACCCCCAGGCCCTATAAAATGAGCTGCCCCCAGCCCATCCTTTTCACAAATGCAAAGCCATCCTAATGTGAGGTTTTAGCTTTTTGGCCACGTACCCCTCTTCCATGCAGGAAGCTGCGGATCACCTCCGCAGACAGGCGCGCGCGCACGCTCCTGCCCGCTTTTCTTTCCAAATGAAGCCATCTCGTGTCATTACATGTGAAATACGAGGGCGAAGCGCCATATTTCTTCACATTATGGCGATTTTAAAATGATTTTTTAAAGATCAATGCCAGGCGCCCGGCCGGCCCCTCCTTCTCCACCCCAGCTCTCCGAGGGCGACAGCCCGGCAGATCCGGAACCAAACAGCGTGAAGATCTGCTTTTTCCATGGGACCCAAGTGGGGAAACAAATATCCGATGCAAATTCTGCTAAGTAGCAGTTGGTCGCCAGGGAAAGTCGAGGGAGCTCCCCTGACTCACCAGCAAGAAAGCGGGGCACAGAGTGAATGAATCACAGTTAAGGCAAAGCACCTGTTCTCGATTTGCCAGACGTATGGAGTCTGCTGTCGGCTTTACCTGTAATAAATATATTCTCCAGGAAAAAAACCACAAACCACTCCTCTCCTGCCATAAATAACGGCGTTATGGAGCACGGAGGGCTGAGTATATGACTTTCTGTAGTATATAAATTAGGGTCCAAAAGGACATGTGAACCGAGGGCTGGGACTTTTTTTATTTATGGAAAAGTCACAGCGCAGGGCTGTTCTGAACACCCAGGCTGCACAGCCCTCTGGGTCTCATTCTTAAGATCCTGGCTCTGCCTGCTGCTTCTGTGCAAAAAGAAAGTCCAAAGAGTCACTCAGTTTAGGGAAGATGAGTAAGAACATGTGGACTCATGGCTTGACTTCCAAAAGACCAAGAGCCCCAGTACATAGGGTTAAGGTTTGCCGGTAGCTCTCTGTCTGGGGAGTTGCTCTGAACCCCTGTGGTGCCTGGATGTTGAGTCAGGAGGACACTCAGGCCTCTTGTCTGAGACCACAGCTTACCCTTTGCTCACAACAAGGCTGGAGAGTGAGAACAATTTCAAATGAAAGGTATGGGAGTTCGCAAACTCCTCAGGAGAGGGAACTCTGGAGGGGAAAGAATGAACTAGCCCCCAAGCCCTGGAGTCTGTACCCCAACTATTTCCCTCCAAGAGGGGATGCAGATGCACCAACCAAGGGGTCCCATCCCAACCAGGATTTCTGGAAAGTTTCGCTCCCCGAATCGGAGCTCAATGCCAGCTCAAGTAAATAATTAAAGGGTCAGTGAAGAAAGAACCCTTTGTGAAGGTGCTCTGAAGATTTTTGGAACCCTCCCACCCCCTTCTTTCCCAGAAAAATGGTACCCACCATAGCAGGGGGAGGCAGATAAGATCGGAGCACTTGGGGGTCCAAAAGTGCTATTTAATAGAGGGGTTACTTCTAATAGTGGGGGTCACTTTTGTCCTCACAGCAAAACTTCTCCACACCCCACCCCCATTTCGAAAGAAAGAGGAAAAGCCTGCCTTCTAGCAAAGCTTCTAGCCATTCCCTACACAGAAGCCGATCCTGAACACAGCTGAGGCCAGAGCTGATGCTCGGGAAGAGCAGACAGGCAGGAGCTGCAGCCCCGGGGCCACTCTGGGGCCCAGAGCAACTAAGAGCAGAGGCTGAGGCCGGGAGAGCTGAAGCAGCGCTGTGGCCAACTCTGGTCAGACACAAGTGAGTACCTACATTTGGGGGTGACTTTTGGAGGGGTCATTGAATAAGAAGAGGAGAGAGATAATCTAAACAGAGGGAAGGAGAAGAGTGAAAGAAAAATAATAGTATTGTTTTAAACTAATAAGCTAAGTGACATGCATGCATGCTGTGTTAGAAGAGAAGTGTATGTAATATATTTTAAATCCGTATTTCTTTATAAGGAACTGAAGGTGTACACGCTGTGCGCTTAACGCTGTGTAGAGACCATGTAATAAACGCATCTACCCAACTATGCTGGATGGGCTTGGGTGCTCATATATTAGGTCTAATGGTGCCTAGGTGAGTGCCTGTACAACCAGTGTGAGTGGTGTGGATTTATTATTCTGCTCCTAGAAAAAGATCTATGAGCCAAAAACGTGTGCACATTTTTATAACCACCACACACCTATGGAGAGGGCCCAACACTTGAGTGTTGGTGTGCCTCAGTTGTGGCTATAAAATATGAACGGATTTGGAAACTTCACTTGAAAATCTGTCTGTTGATTTGATATTTAAGAAAAATATGTATCGGTTCCTAAACACATGTGACTTAGATCTGAATACTTTCACAACTTCCTCCTGAAATTCTTCTCTGGGGGGCAAAGGAAATGCCTCAAAGTGACCCAAGGGAGGTTATGAAATTGTGTGACTTTTTTTTTTATCTGACTATAAAACCCTTTACTGCAGATCTTACCCCAAACCGCAGGGACAGTGTGCATCGTATGGTGCTTATTTCATGGTTGAAGGGGTGCGGGGATGAAGGCACTGTCACTTGGGGCACACATCTGTCCCTGTGTGACTCTGATTCTGTAGATCGAGGTGAGTTACCTAGGACGCCTTCAGGTAACTGTGGAGGTCAGACAAAAGCACTGCTGTGTATAACGAAATTATAGAAGTCCCCATGCCTATGCCCCCAAGCACCAGGAGGTAGCTCTTCTGACTCAGGCCCAGCGTCCAGACCCACTCAGGGAGAGAATGAAGTGTGGGGATATTTGTCCCAGGGGGAAGAAATCAAGGTCCCCAGAACCTTCACCCTTTATACAAAACAATTTCAGAGAGAGACCATATCGAATATGCACACATAGATTCAAGCCTCTGTGCTTCCACACCCTTCACATGGAGATTTTAATTGTAAAGGAACGAAATCTTCTGCGAAACTCCCACTCCACTCCGAGGATGTTAGGGGCGAAAGGAAGGACCAGGAGGTCAGCGCCAAGCACCCCTCGGAAGTCTTCTTACCAATTCTCAGCCATCAGGGCTATGGAAGGCTGTGGGGGAGGCTGGCTCTTTGGGAGGGGGCAGTCAGCAGGCCAAACGGGGTGGGCGGCAGGCTGGGCGGAAAGGAGCTGAGCAGGTAGAAGGTTGTTACGGAATTGCTTCCATAAAACCTGTGGCTGTCGTAAAACTCTCTGCTTTCCAAAGACTTTATTTCCTCCTTTCTCTCTAACATCCCCCCTTTTTTCTTTTTACTGCGCTGTTCCTGGGAGGGGGTGATCAAGAAACACCAGGGATAGAAGACAGTCAGGCCAGTGACCTGGCAGGCTTGCCGGAGGCCCAGGAGAAGCAAGGTAAGGACAGGACACTGTAGACCAGCTGTACCCAGGCAGGAGGATATAACATCAAGGGACAGTGATAATAGCCTTTGCTCACCAGGATGAGGGGTTGAAGGCTACATCACCCCCTTTCAGGAATAGGTTTCTCAGGGCCACCCTAGCAGAGGCCTCCCCTCATTCTCCAAGTCAGCTTGGCGCCGGACCCCATCCGGTCTGGGGCCTCTTTCCTGGGCCCCTTTTCACATTTCCTCTGCCCCAAGGAGGGGGAAAAGTTTGGGAACAAAAGTTAGCTTATGCTTTGGACTGCCCCCAGCCTTCTACCAATGATTCTAGTTATTCCTTTCCTGGGCAGAAAGCCAGCTGCCTGGGGAGGGCTGGGGTCAAAGAGGGTATCATAGCTTTGCCCTGCCCCACCCCCTGCTCCATCTCCTGTCACGCCAACAGTCTGGGCTAAATTGCCCAGCAGCCTGGGCGCCCCACTAGCCTGCAAGTCAGGCCCCTCTCCCAGGGAGAACCCTCGGACCCAGTGTAAATCCAAAGCCCAACCCAAGGGTCCATGGGAAAGACTTGGCCACTTTGTGGGGAAGGAGCCAACTGCTGTCCCACCAGGAGACCCTAGGGAAGATGTGGGGGGCATGCAGGTTGAAGTTGCCAGGGATTCTGACATTTCCCTTTCAGAATGGGACATACTAAACTCTTCAAGAACCGTAAGTAAGTTTTCTGTTAAGGTGAAGCCCTGTCCCCCAAAGACCTCGGGGACCACCTGTGTCTCTTGAAGTTGAATACTTGCCGAGTTGGAGAGACTTTCTTTGGAAGTGTGATGGGAGCCCAAGACCTCAAGGCAGGAAGCTTGAAGCTGCAACCAGCATCCTTGGACTCTGTGGAACAGCCCAACAAAGTGCCTTTGGAGAGTGGAATGCTATTATCCCCCTTTTCTGTCCAAAGGCACACTTCAAAAGTACAGGAGTATAAGAAACTCCAGATCCCAGATCGTTTCAGACGTCTTCCCTGGGGAACATACTTGCTGCACTTGGATGAGGACCCTCCAACCTCTTCACTGACTCCAATTCCCTACCCCTCCCCACTCCTCCAGCTAAGTGAGGACCAGTGCCTGCTGTGAGTCCCGTGGTTTCATGTCCTTGTGTTCAGAAATCCAGGCCCAACATGAGACTCCCTGATTCACTCAGCAAATCCAGGCACGCTGCAGGCCAGGGGCCCAGGGGGCATACCCAAACTTCCACCTGGCTGTCTAACTTCATCTTCTCATTCTTCCCCCAACAAAATTCAGTTGCTAGTAAACATAAACATACCCAAAGAAGTGGAGACAGGACTCCAGAGAAAACCATTTTGGGCTTGGACCTGGTCCTGACCATTGAGATTCCAGGAGGTTTTGTTCTCTTCCAGGAACCCTGGATGGAGGAGCCCTAGACCCAGACCCAGACCTGGCCAGGGCCTTCAGGATACACCTGTTTCCACAGCCCAGGACACTTCCACAGATAGAAGATTTCTCAACTTCAAACTGCCATCAAGGTGTGTCTGTACTCACCTCCAGGTGCCCCCCGCCACCCAGAACAGCTCTGAGAGGCCACAACTTCAAGCCCCACACCAAGTGGGGCTTTGAGACTGGGCTGGAGACAGGAGAGTGGAGGAGAGTGCTGAGAATGTGACAGCCAGAAAAGCAGAGAGTGAGAAGTGTCAGGAGACCAGGGAGCCCAATGGACCAGACTGGAGGGAGAGCTGTGAGCCTGGACAGCCGCAGTGAGGTCATCCTGTCTGGAAAAAACCGCAGCCGGCTCCACTTAGGCTGACAGTCCCAGGAAAGAATCCCTTCACAGGTGAACCGGGAGCGTCTCTGGGGCGCAGATTACAAATTTGCTTCTTCCTTCTAGATTCCGTCTGGGTCCTCCGTTGTCCCCTACAAGCAAGGCCACTCACGGCCATCATTAACCCCTCTAGACCTCTGCTCCCTTCCAGGGGTGCATGCACAGGCGACAAAGGCCACCGCCAGGAGCGGCCCGAAGGCGTCGGACTTACCTGGGCGCTCCGGTGGCGGCGCGGGGCAGAGCGGTCGTCGGAAGGTGCAGAGGAGCGGTCTGGCGCTGTCCGGCCGGCTCCCTCCCGCCGTGGCCCAAAGGCGAGTGTCCGAGTGGCCACGTGTCCGCGGGGAAGTCCGAAGGAGCAAACGAGTCTGCCTGGCCTCCCGCTCCCCCTCCCGGGTATAAATCTTGGGGACCGGAAATACAATAAAACTTCACCGTGTTGATGAACTTCAAACGGTTTACATCCCCTCCTGTCCTGAAAAGAAAGACGGCCGGGGGTGGATTAAAAGGAAGGGAAACAAATTTACGAGCCAGGCGGCAGAAACACCCGCCTCGGCCCCTTTCTTGTGCCGGCGCAGACTGTCCGCGTGGAGAGAAGCGGCCTCTGCCCTCGGGACTGTGCCGCGGCGGTGGCGTCCCGGCCGCCGGGCGCGCGCTCCTCTATGCGCTTCAGCCAGGAGTCGCCCGCCGACCGGCCGGCGCCGCAGCCGGGGGCCTTGCGGCCAGGGCTGGGAGCCTCCGCCTACACTAAAAATTCCCGAGCCCGGAGCAACACCCACGCGCTCGGCTCAGCCCTCCAAGCCGAGGCTCCCAGCGCTTTGCCAAAGCAGTTAGGCGCCCGGTCCTCCCCGGCTTGCAGCCCTGACTGCCAGCCACGCCCTGCGGCCTCCACTTTTTGCAACTGTCCGTTGAAAGCGGGTTTTTTCCCTCGTTTTTCCATCTCTAGCAACCAGACCTTTGCCTTGCCCCGCCCGTTTATGGCCAAGTACTAGCGAGAAGGGAGAGGGGGTCAGGAGGCCTGAGGGGGCTGAACGGGACAGAGACTTCCGAGGGGAGCCCAGGGCAGGTCTGGAGGGAGGGGAAGTGAGGCCCCAGCTAGTCCGCCCAAACTGGCTTTCACTGAGCTCTGCCACCCGCTCCTCTCCAGGCTCCTTACAAGTCTCAAAAGCAAATAAAAGCAACTGTGACCCAGGCCCCCACTATGCTACCCATAATTCTTTTTCACTCTGGAATATTTGATTTTTTTTACAAAACTTTGTGGAATCCGGGTTTGTTAAATTGCTTATTAGACCACTGTGAATCCAAATCCACCTTGGCTCCCCAAAATGCCACCCGTAAATCCCAAGAATCCAGCTCTGAGAGGCAGCTGAGGGCTAGGCTTCGCTCTGGCTGAGGCAGGGTCAGGTATAGGACTGGGGCTAGATGCAGACCAAGGTAAGGATAAGGTGCGCTGAGGTGACCTTCCTCTCACACAAATGCACAGGTGTGGCCCTGGATGACCCAACCAATTCCTGCCTCCCCTTTCCAATAAAAGGTGCTGAAGAATTTTTAAATGGATAAAATTGAATTAAACAATTTGAGAAAATATAAGATAATAGGACATGGTTCCTAAATTTTCTGAAAATTGTCTCCGGTGAGGGAAAGCATTAGACTGTGGGCCACAGTTTCTGCAAGACTAACTGCTGCAGGCAGTCCTGTTCTGCCCCAGCTATCTGGAGCGGGGTGCCCTCTGGCCCCTTCCGTGCACCAATACCGAGGAAGGGGGAGCTCCTGAACAGCTGGAGGACAGGAAGTAGCTTATTTAGACCCCAACACTTACATCCCAGGGTGTGCCCAGGGGGGCCCTCCAGCGGCCCTCCTTGTGCTCCAGCCCCCTCATTTCACTCTTCACTGTGCTATAATTTTATTTTAAATACGGCGATGGCAGTTATCCCTCTAGTGGGATTTGCCTCTGGAAGCTGATAATGAGGGGCAGAGGACTGGGAAGAGGGGCCTGCAGCTTCCACATCACCTGGGGTGGGTCAGTGTGCCATCTCCCCACCCACCGCTGAAGGGGTCTCCATGGCTCTCTGGGCCAAGGAAAGGGAACCCAACCATTTCAGAGTCTTGGACTCTGGAAAAGCCTCAGCCTTAGAATGACGTACCTGTGAACACATGCTTTGTATACACTTTTCAGGGGTTTTGGGGCATCCCCCAACCCTCACCTCCAGAACCCAGGCACAGATCCCAGTTTTAAAACCAAAACTCTCTGCACGGAGCTGAAAGACACCTCCAAACCCATGTCCATGGAAACCAGCCTTCTCACCCCAACTCTGCTGGTCTCAAAGGATGTCAGATTTCAAATGCCTGGCACCATCACCCACCAACAGGGACGGTGCTGAGAAGCACCCTCCTGAATGTCACTCACACACTACTCGAGTGGACGATCATTCCGTGATAAAGGTCACTTAGGCAATGTGGCTTTTCACTGTCAAATATTTTCCAAATACTTTCCTAAAAGTCAATCTCCTAATTATTCAGAAAATTTAAAACATAGATGTGAGCTTTAGAGACACATTTTCCCTACTTCCTTCCCTCCTTGAAGGTAAAGCAGACTTAAGCCTATTGGAAGGGGCTGGGCAATTTGGATGTGAGCGGAGACCGCGTACATAGAGACAGAGCACAGGAACCTCAAAGCAAGCGACATTGAGATTTCCCCTCCCCTGCCTGCCCCCTCCCGAGTCCTGAGAGTCAGGAGAGTAAGTATTTCTGGTCCTCCTTAACCCGTTTCTCTTCCCAGGGTTTATTGCAGGGAAGGGGGCTGGGGTCCCGGAGAAGTCGGAAGTACCAGAAACCGCGATCCTGAGACCTAAGCTGGATTTTTGGGTTTTGTTCTCAATTTCTAGCCAGCCCTGGAAAAGCAACTCTGAGGTCGCCGGCGGGTGAGACCGAGGCAGCGGCCGACCTCTAGGCGGCGCCCGGGAGTCGAGTCCGCGCTGACAGGATCCTCGCGCAGCGGTGTCGCGCTCCGGGTGAAGGGGCCGGGTGCTGCCGACGCACTGGGCTCGGCCGGGAGCTGGCCGCCGGGGCGCCGCCTTTGGCGCCCTCTGCCAAGCAAGAGAAACACAATTAAAAGAGTGAGGACAGAGAAAAGAACGACAGCTATTCCTGGCTCTATCTGATCCCCGCCCCTCCCCCACCCCCAGCCCGCACTCCCAGGGAGGCTTCCAGGGCACAGCCCAAATATCCTTTGATCTCCCTAGAAGCCAGCTCAAGGGCAGGGTAAACAAGCATCTTTAAACTACCCCCACCTTGCAAAAGATTTTGAGGGCTGAAGAAATTCAGTGGCTAGTAACTGATTACAGTGGCTAGTAACATCATAAGTAGTGACGCAGGGCTGAAGATGGGTCCTCTACTCTGAATGACATGAAATGCTCTTACCCCATTATGCCAATCCCAGCAAAATGTCATTCCTGTAAGCAAATTCCACTTCCAGAAATGCAGCTTTGGGATGTCGTCTATGCAGGAAGTTTAGATGTTTCCAGATTTAAGATTTGGGGGAGCAGATGAAGGGATAGGAGCCAGGACTGGTTGCCAAGCCAAGTCAGCTCTCCACCCAGCACAAGGCCACCTCCCAGCTTGTAACCTCCCAGGACTTTGTGTCTCCTGTGTGCCTTGGGCCCTCAGAGGGAAAAACCACTTACTGATTGGGTCTGAATACTTGGTAGAAGGAGTCCCTATGACTAAGAGTGTCAGATACACAACCCCAAAGAGAGGCCCTTAGTCCTGGGCTCATGGGGCCTGGAGGACAGGGGGATAGAAACTTGGATCAGGACTAGTTTCTCTGAGCCTAAGCGATCAGCCAGAATCAGTGGAGAAACTGGCACCTCTTCTTCTCCCCCTCCTACTCTCCCCTCTCTCCAAGATGCCATTTTAGGCCCTCCCTGGTGGCACACCGGGTTAAACAGCACTATGAAGCTTTCCAAAGCCACTGCAGCACAAGTTCAATCCCCGGCCAGGGAGCTGACCCACATGGCATGGCAGACCTCTCCTGTCTCCCTGCTGCTCCCCTCAGCAGTGTACTTGATCAGTCTGTCTGTTCTGCTCCCCACTCTGTCTCTGCTGAATCCTCTCACCTCCCCTGCACCTCTGGCCTGTACCCCAGTTCTGTATGCATAAATAAATCTTTAAATAAAGATACCATTTTACCCCACAGATATGTTTCTCCAAAGTTATTCCCAAGACAGGGGCCCTGATAATGGCGGAGAGGGAGAAGAAAAGAAGAGGGGTGGGTGGGGTCATAAGGGGCGGGTCTACAAAGTGGGACTCCCAGTCTGTGGTGAGGACTACCTGGCCTGCCTGCCGAGTCTGAGGCTCAGGAGGAGGCACCAAGCCTGGCCGCAGGGGCTTTCCCTGATGCCTAATTACCCAGCGCACATCTGGAGCAGCTGCACCCCGCACGGCCTCAGGCACATTATTCTGCTCTAAACCCTATTTTCATTCCCGAGGCTGAGTCATAAAAGACTTTGGAGGCAGGATAAAGTCGGGTCTGTGTGTGTCAGCATTCCTGTGTGTGCGCGCGCACGCGTGTGTCTGCGTGTCTGAGAGGCGTCTGTGCGTCTCGCCGAGATTGCCCAATTGACTCTCAAGAGTGGGGGGGAGGATGGAGCAACATCAGGCGAATTCACTGCGAACATACTGTCGGCCTCATTATCTGCCCATTTCAAGGGAGAGCATTTGGGGCTCGGAATTAGCCAGTTAATTGTATCACTTCTTTGTTCACTTTAGGGCAGAAGAAACTGCTTTCTATTAAAACATTCTATATTTCAGAAACTTTGCTTTAAGATCTTTTGTCAATTTTCTTTATTTCCATCCCCATTATACCACTTGAGCATTTAGATCTGCCAGTAACACATCAACACACACACACATCATGCAGGAAAAGGAACTTAGTTTCTGCATCTGCAACATCTGCATGTCTTAACTCAGGGTTGTTGCAAGAATTAACTAATATAAAACAGGCTAGGGTTTAGCACAATGTCTTTAGTAAACGGTCACTATTAATAACAAGAAGGGGGAGGAGAGAAGAAATGAAGGAGGACTGAAAGGGGGAGGAGGAGGAGGAAGCCTGCTTTGTTCTCAGAGAACCAGTCTAGATTGGAGGGTGTGGGTCTCTGGCTATCTATGTGTAATGTATTCTTTTGACTTAGTGCAATGCCCATAAAAGTGAGGCCCCTTGAACCCCTTAGCCTGTGACTACCTCTTCAATAAGGAACAGAGGATTGGGGCAATTATCTGGCTCATTTCAGGTTCAAACTCCCTTTAAACCGAAGTCTCTGGATCTGATGGGAACAAGGCTGTGGAAGGGTGGATTAGTCACATTTGGTTTCTTGATGACTCTTTCCCCTTAGTGGGATTGTGCATGGGGAGGAAAAAAGCAGGGGGCCCAGCAAGTTGGAATTAAAACAGAACATCCTGAGAAAATACTTGAAAAAGCAGGTCTTGCTTATTTCCTGGCAGCCAGGCTGCCTTGGACCTCTCCATGCAAAAGCCTGGAGACACCCGCCCCCACACACAAGTCAGAGACCTTTGCTGACCAAACATTTTCATTCCTTTCAACTAGTGTTTTCTCAATGCCCAATGTGTGCCCAGCACTGGGCTTAGCTTTGAGGTTCCAGCAGGAGCTGTGCCATGTTAGCTGGCAGTGCTGACTTTCATCCAATGAGGTTGCTGCTCCCAGAAACAAGTCTAGGGACCCACGAAGGGGAAGGACCCCGCCAAGCAAGAACTTCTGGCCAATGGCAGCATTGCCTTTTCAGGGCCAAAGTCCTGGTGCAGGGGCGGAGCCAGAGGGTCTGAGGGCACCCCCTCCCATTGTCTGTCTGAAAGAGGCCAACTCCACGGTGGGGATGGTCCTGTGGGGGGAGGGGTGGGGCGTAAGTAAGTCAGGAGACACAGAGAGATGACTAGAGGCTCCTGACCCTCAGTCGGAAGTTCCCAAGAATACCAATTAGCTTTCTTTAATTAGTAAAGTAGAGAGAAAACGGGCATATATTTCTTCTGCTCTGATTAAAAGCATTTAGGTCAGGTGTTCACAGCCAGGATTATTCAGTTTAAGCTGTCCCAAGCAGAAAATATTTTATTTTTTTCTTTTGATTTTCTGGCAGGGGTCTGAATTCTATTAGTCAACCTTCTTGTTACAGCCCAGAACTGCTGGGGCTGGTAGGTGGTGGTTGTGCCAGCTCAGAGAGGGGCAACCAAGACCCAGTTCTGGTCTTTATGGCCCCAAGTTATATTTGTTTGAAATGTGTAGGCTCTTGAGAAGCAGTCAAGAGGGGATGTGCTTGGAGTGGGTATGTTTGAAATAAGCCAGGTAATTCCCATTTCCTCTAATTTGTCTGAGCATAGCCCAAGAAGGAAATGTGGTCACTTCCCAGATCCCAAAGAAATTGTACTTTTCTTCTTCAAGATCTAGATTGTCAGTTCACAGGAGTAGGGAAAAAGCCAGACAGAAAGTCTTTATAGCCTGAAGAGACATAGTTAAGTCTAAGCAAATCTTACTATGTGAGGCTGGGTAAAAGGGAGGGGGCTACCTTGTCAGGAGTCACCTGCTGTTTGGCACCCACAAACAAGATGACAAGAAAGTTAGGAGCAAATCCTTCCTCTTTCAGTCTGGTACCCCCTCCCCCAAGTTCTAATCTTGTCTAAGTTTTCAGACCCAAGAAGTGTTGTGGTCACTGGTGACTCAAATGGGTAGATTAATAAGGGGTGTGACAGAATATTCTATTGCGTGCTTTGAACTTTCTTAACCAAAGAGCCTTCCCTTCCCAGGAAACTGTTCCAGTGAACTATTTTTTATTCCCTGAGATGTTGCTCAAGCCCAACTGCCCTCCAGCAACTGGTCCTGCTGCTGGCCAGTCCAAGATCAACTTTCTCCTGCAAATCTCTCCCACTTTCTCCAGCCCTTTGATCACCCAGGAGAGGGAGAAAGACTGACTCCCACTGAGAACCCAGATGCTGACCCAGGAGAGGCAGAGAGAGGAACACTGCAGGAGCACTTTTAAAGGTATAGGTTGACTTGGGAAACACTGAGATAACAGCCACAGGGGAGAGGGGGAAATGAAGACCTACATTAACCTACATGACCATATTAACTGACCCACTCAGCATTTTCCAGACACTAGTTTCTTTCATCAGTTCAAACAGAAGTCCTTAGCTTGGGGCCAAAGTTCTGAGATTGTGGGATTTGGTGAGTACTGCAAAAGTGGGCTCCCCCACCCCATCAATCACTTTCATCAGATTTTTGAAGTTTCAGTGAATGACCCTCCCCCAAAATGTCAAGGACCTTTCTTCACCATTCAAATACAAATAGCACAAATGTGATTCAGGGGGAGGCAGTGAAATAGACAAGGGTATCTTAAAAATTAAAAAGGCACAAATAATTGTGTGCATCACAATGTGGGCAGGCGGTAAGTCATCTGTGCTTTCCCAGAACAACAGGCACCTGCTTACAGGTGCTGAGGACCGAGACAAGGCAGCCACACTGCCGGCGGGAGCCCCTGCACCCTGTTCCCGAGTGCAGTGCACAAAGTCTCTGTATCTCTAATCAAAACCACACTGGAGATTTTCTCCACTGGGGTTTGGGTCTTCTGTGATTTGCCACCTGTCCTGACTTATCCATAGGAAAGAGAATTGAAGATTTCAGGATCAGATTTACTCCTCACAAATACCCTCGCTGGGGACAGGATGTAGATCCCGGACGCTAGTCCCCTCAGCTCCAGTCGCAGGTGTGCCGTGTCTGGGACCGCCAAGTTAAAAGTCCCCGCCGCTCTCCACAACTTTATAGGTCCTCTTGGACCTGGGTTTGGGCTCAGTAAAGGGAGTGAGAGAAAGCTGAACAGGTAGATAAAAGCAGACGCCCCGGAAAGGGGTAGAGAAAAACAAAGAGCCATTGAAACAGCCAAACAGGAGGCACAGGCAGGTGGGGAGGTTACAACCCGCATGCTGAGAAGGCCCCAGAGCGGCTGGCTGGGAGCAGGCTGGTCCCCTTTCCGGTCCTCAGAGGAAGGTGAATGACCACGTCAACCCCAGCGCATTCCAAACAGCCCATTTACAACTCCTGGGTCTCCTTAAGGCTTTCAGATTAGCTGGTTAGGGAGGATGGAGGAGTCCCTCCGCAAGGGACTTGGAGGGCTGAGGGCAGGGTGGTGCTGGCCAGATCGTTTGTCAGTTATGGGAAGCCAGGGAACATCCCAGCAGCAGAAATCCGGATTCCGGAATGGGGCACGTGGTGCTGGCGCCCGCTACTTGGAAGGAGTGCGGGGCAGTCTGCCTCCGTGACCAGGAACCAGGACGCCACCTCCTCAGTGCAGAACAGTGTGGAGAAGTCCACCGGGGCGCCCCAGAGCCACCAGATTCAGCGTGAGGAAAGGCCCGGGGTCAGTGTTAAGCTGCTCGGCTCTGATGGCTGGACAGAGCCCCCCACGACGCCCCAATCTTCTCCCAACCCTGACAGCAGAGGCTGTGAGTCTATAAGCCCCTTGGCAAAGCAGCGACCCAGAAAGCACCAGTGTGATTTCGACCTCCCTCTGCCTCTTAATTGACAGCCGGACCGGCAGAAGTCTCTCCGACTTTGAAAACCTTCTTTCCAATTAACCCCTCCTCTAGGATCCTCCAAAGGGACCAGGCTCTCCCAGGCTTTCAGCTCCCACCCCCTGCAGCGCCAACCTGGGCTGGACTCTCAGCGGGTGGGGCTGGGGGCGCGCGGAGTCCCCAGGTGCCCCCCATCTTCCTCCGGTCGCCAATTCCGAGGCTCCGGCTCCGGCAGTCGCCTCCCAGCCCCGCGAGCTTTCGGTCCTCCTGCCAGAGCCCGGAGGCTGGCGCCGACCTAGCCAGCGGCTTGCACAGAGATCATTCCGCGCCCAGCCTGGAGACTAAAGCGCAGGTCCCCAGCGGAGTACCGCGGGGTGCTCGCCGTCGGGTCCCGGGGGCGCTGGCTCAGCTCAAGGAAGCCGTTATGCACAGTCTCGTTATGCACAGTCTCGAACTCTTCCCGAGCTGGAGGCGGAGGGGCGCGCAATCTCAAATCCCGCCCGGTGGCTTCTCCGACCACCTCAATTCCTGGTCCCACGAACCTCAAAGCAGGAAAATCAGCACCGAGAGAAGCCTCTTCACCTCTGCTCCATCTCGGAGTCCAAAGGCCCTGGTGCTGGGCCAAACAGCGATCAGACAGTGGAAGAGGTAAGAGGTTTAGCGATTAGAAATGTGGACACTCTCTTTTAATTGTCTTAAAGGATGGCGCCTCTGGATACTAACTTTTCTCCATGAAGTTCAGACATTCGGACCAGTTTCTGGCATTCTTGCAAATCGGGGCCACCACACGGTCCAGGTCACGGTGTAAGGAAGAACTGTTTGAACGGTGGAAGCTGGGGGATTATTGTTCTCATTCTCATCACTTAATCTCCAGGTAATTTTGGTCTAAATTCTCCCTCCATTCCATCCTGATGGTACTTCAGAGCCAGGGCTGAGCAGGAGGCAACAGGCTGGATCTGAATTAGGTGAAGGAGTGGGGATACCCTGCTTTCACCTCAGTTACCTTGTGAGGTGAAGGCTGTTGTTCTTAACACTGGGGCTGAGGCAGCGGCTGAAAGATGGAGAATGGTGAAAGTTGGCTGAGGCCAGCCACTCAGCACTTTCCTGGGAAAGAAATTTGCAATTTGGTTCTGAAATAGAGTGGTTTTCACCCTTGGCTTTAGATGGTGGTGGGGAGAGAAATGCTGGATGAACTCCCAGGGGAAGGGCACCTTAAGCCCCCAGGTGTGGGCTAAAGGGAAAAGGCCTACATCAACAGCCATATGGGTCTGAATATTTTCCAGAAACAAATTCTTCTGATTAACCTACACAGTTGTTAACCTGATGTCCAGAGTCCGAAATCCTCAGGAAGTGCGAAAGTCCTGCTTACATCCTCTTGGAAGAAGCTCTGAGAGGCAAGAAGCACCACTCAGTGGGGACATGGGCAAGGGAGGGCTTTAGATCCTGCTGTCTAGCTCACTGGACTCTGAGCGCTGCACCCCAAGATCTAAAACCTCAACCTGACCCCATGCGCACACTATCAAATTGAAGAGTGGAAAGATGCAAACAGTTGAGGGGACAGATTTCGCCCACTGCTTCCAGGATGAATCTGGATGCCCAAGCAGATTACAAATCTAGACTTATCTCAGGTTGCTTCTACCCCACCCCCATCAGCTATTACTGAATTTTGGCCCAGAGCAGGCTCTGGGGTCCATGGGACAGCCAGACAGGAGAGGATCTGCTCTCACCTCCACCTGGTGATCTCGCACCCTAGATGATCTGGCCCAGCTGGCAGAGGCCATTCTGGTTTTGCCACGGGTTTTGATTGCAGGTTAAAACCCTCAGCTCTGAGGATTTGTTTTCCTGTGAACTGGGTCTACAGGTCAAGCTGCAAGATCCTTCCAGGTCTGCTAAATAACCACAGCAGTTTCGCCTAATTTTTGCTTTTGAAAACTGCAGAAGCCCCAAATTCCTAGCTTCTCTTAAGGGAGATGGCACTATTGGGTCCTGGGGTGATGGGGGTATTGCAGAATCCAATAACCTGACTTGGTGGTCCCCATCAGTTCTGTATTCTGCCTAGATGGTCCCTTCTCTTGTCACTCATTCCCTCCAAACCCAGAAAAGACAAATTTTTTGTCTACTTGGGATGGAAAAGGTGAAATCCAAGAAAGAGTAAGAGAGGTAAGGGAGGAGAAAATGAGGGAGAGGATTCTAATAGATTAGAATAATTGAAAAACATTTGAAGCCTGATATTTATATCAGCCAGGTCAAGAAGAGGAGGCAGAAGCAGAGTGGACAGAAGACCAAGTTCCCAACCTAATGCTCCCATTGTTGCTTGGATTATGGAGCTTGTGCCTTCTGAGGTGGTGTGAAGTTAGAACTCCCAACCATCTGCAGGCTGGAAAGGGTGGGGGTGAGTGTGTGGATGTGGAAATTGTGAAAGAGTGAGAGGCTCTTTTTGAGGGCCTCTGAGGTCTCCCACGGTGCCTCCCCTGCATTTCTGGGCCAGAGTGCACATATGTGGGAAGACGGTTCTAAACTGTCCCAGATAGCTGACCACTCACCTCCCTGGGGACAGGGCATGTGGCTGGGCTAGGAAGGGGCTACATTTTTTTTCTGGACCTGGGGAGAGAAGAGTTTCCTGGATTTAGAGTCAAGTAATCCACCAAGGAGAGGGAGGAGCTGCAGCTCTAAAGGGGAAGATCACACCAGGAAAAGCCCAGACTCTCTGCCTCCACCGAGCAACTCAGTGTCAGGCAGGGATGTCTGGGTTTTTGTGTTTTGGTGGCTACTGGAGAGTGAGTCCTGTGCTGCATGTTTCCACGTTTAGTATGTGTGAAATATATAGTCATCCACTTCAGAAAAGGGCGGGGGGGCATATAAGGAGAATATGAATTTCCTGGCTGGCACCTCTATTATCAAGCCCCATTGGGAGTACCTAACTTCATGTCTTCCACCCGTTTGTATCAGTCCTCAATCTTTACATTGTGTGTATATTCTCTGTCAGTCACCGCTGCCCCATACAGTGTTCTTTGATGACTTCTGAGGGTTACTAACTCCTAAAAGACCCCACAAAACCCCTTTATGCTTGCTTCTGTCCACATGCATTTTCAAAGGAGAGACACTTTTGTACTGACCCATCAGCCAGTCCATACAGATTGAGATCTTTTCCTTGCCTCTGCCCCTCCCATAAACAACTGGCTCCTCAGTGAAAATGCACACACATCTATGTTGTGAGTTTCAAGTAAGATGGCGGCGCTTGGTATGTCTTCAGATTCAGATAAATGCTCTCCCAGGAAGGAGGCGGCCCCAACCCAGCACAGTCCAGAGGAAAGGAAACCTAGTCCCCTGGCTGCACCAAAAGGCAATTGAAGCCAAAAACTTCCAAGCATTTCCTTCCCCCATTTCATTTTCGTGGGGGCTGGGTCATGAGAGCGCACGCTCGCTCGCTAGCTCCACACGCAGGCTGCACCGCCAGGCCAGCCAGCAGGCGCCTGAGCTGACTCGGCACCTTGGGGACCCGAGGTCTCCCATTGGGACCCAGAGCTCCCAGTCAATTTCTAACTTGTCTGGAGAATGCAAAACCTTTGTGTCTTTCCAAGCGACCCCCACCCGACCACCGAGGAAGCAGAGGCCGTTGGTTGGGGCAGCCTGAGCCTTTCTCTAACTACATCTGCCTGGAATCTGGGGCTGTGAGCAGAAAGATCAGGTGGGAGGACCTGAAGCTGGACTCTGGGGAGCCAGAGTTGAGGGTGAAGGAGCTGGAGGGGACCCTTGGGTCCTCTTAAACACACCTTCGCTTGCAGAGAGAGGCCGTAGGAGCAGGCGGGAAGACTAAGGCCTCTGTGGCGCGCGGAGGCCCCACGGCGAGGCTGGGTCGGTCTAGAGCTCAAGGTTAAGCTGGGAGCCCGGTGCAGGCCCAGTCCCCGCAGGGTCTGTCGGGCCGCGGCGCTAGTCCGCGTGCTCCGGCCCCCAGCGGCGACGGGAAAGGAGGGCAGTGTGTCACCTACCTCTAGAAACCGCATCCTCCGCGCGTCTTCACAAGCTGCAGGGACCCCGGCTTTGGAGGCGACAGAATCCAGGGACCGAGGTAACGGCGCCAGGGAGGAGCCAGGCAGCCCGGGCCGCCACCCCGCCCCCGCGCTGGGAGTCTCTGGCAGCGGGACTGGGGCTGGGGCCGCGTCTCTGGGGGCGCCAAGGGGTTCGGGCGTCCTCGTCCTCCGTCCTCCTGGCGCCGGCCAGCTCGGGGTGAGGACCGGGCCCGGGCGGCAGACGGGCGCGGGCGCCACCTTCCTCCGCGTCCTCGGGGCGGGGCTCCAGCCAACCTCACCTGCCCCTCCCGGGCGCCGTCGGAGACCGGCGCTGGGGTTTCCAGAAAAGTCCTTGAAAAGGCCGGAGCAGTGGAGGAAGGGCGTCTAGAGAGGACCGGCAGAGAGAAGGGGTGTTCGTGCGTGAGTGTGTGTGTGTGGTGTGAGAGAGAGAGAGAGTCGAGAAATAACAGACAAGAGAGAAGCAGACACAAGGGTTTCTTCCCAGTGAAACCGTCTGATACAGAAACAGACAAAAGAAATAGAGGAAAAGCGGGAAAGCGGAATCTAGGGGACAGGAAGAGGTCCCGGGCGTCTGAATGGAGCGACAAGTTGTCCTTGGGAGTTGGGAATGTGAGAGGGAGGGGCCAGGCCAGGAGAGTCTGAGGGGGAGGAGGGCGCAGAGTCTCGGCTGGAGAGGGTCGCCGATCTAGGGTCCCGCGTCTGTGGGAGAACTCCAGACCCTCCTGGGCCCGACCCGGCCCTTCCGCCCAGGCCCTTCCCGGCCGCAGCCCGCCTCTCCCTGGAGGCGGTCACCACGAAACTTCCCTGGTTCCTCCAAGCACGGCCAAGGTCTGTGCATCGGTCCCCTCTAGGGAAAGTACCAGACTGAGGGCCGCCCTTCTACCCGCTCCTTTCTTCCGACCACTGCCTTAAATGGGTTTCTCCCTTCATTGAATGAACAGCACTAGCGAGGCCAGACGCAACGACCTTGGCCAAGGTCAACGGAAGACTTGAAAGTTTCATTTTCCATTCTGTCCTGAGGATGTCTTTGTGTTTGGCGCCTTCCGGAAACCGCAGGCTCTTCTCTTTATTTCTCTCAGAGGTTCAACTACAGGTTCCATCCAAACTGCCACAAATAGTCAGAATTCCAATCTCAGACTCTCAGCCTCGTGATCTTCAGAAATTACCCTGCCTGCCCTGCTAAGACTTTCCTCCGCAGCCAGCCTGGGGCTGGAGACCTACTCATAATACACTCCCTTCCTGAAAGTGGTTGTCCAGGAGGGGTGTGGGATGTGTCTGAGATTCCAGTTCCACAACTGGCTCTACCACTGACTTGTTGTGGAACTTCAGCCCACACCTCCATCCTCTCCAGGTGTGTCTTATTTCCTCCATAAAACATAGCTGGGAGAGCAGTGGGGTGACAGATTTTATCTTGGCATCCTCCTCCGTTTGCATATTCTGGTGAATTTGCACTGTTAAGAGAGACATCCAAATCATGATTTTTATTCTATAGCCATTTTCATATGATGTTAGATTTTGCCTCCACGAATGCGTCTGTTTCTCTAGCTTCCTTTTCTGAACGTTTCAGTCATGCTTTTACTACTGCAAATGCAGTGAGGAACACTAATATTAAGTGTACAATTCAATGTATCTTTGCATTTGCACACATATGTCCAATCACCAGTGGTTCAAAATAATATTAGCTTCCAGAAGAATCCCAGTAACTCGTCCTGTCGGTAACCTTCTAGTCAGTACCCACTTTCAGAAGTAACCACAATTCTGTCTTTAGACCTAGAGTAGTTTTGCCTGTCCTTGACTTTATAAGGACATTATGAGTATCTCCTGTTGCTCAGCTTCACCTAGCTAGTATTATGTGTGTGAGGTTATGTGTGTGTTATATATAATAATAGTCCATTCTGTTTTATTGTCACATTCCACTCTGTGTCCTATTCCATTATTCAGAAAAGTTGTCTATAAGGATGAAATAGTGATACTGACCTAAAGAACAAGATAAAGATTGGTCTGGGAGAAGTGAAGGAGTGTTTCTGGTCAAGGACAGCTTGTGTAAAGTTCTGGAGGCTGTATTAGACCAATTAAAGATTAATTTTTTATTATCTTCAAACTATTTTAATATTGTAAGGTTTTAAATTAATATTTTACATCATTAACTCTTGTACAGTATGTGCTTTCTCCTCTCAAGTGTAGTCCCCATAAAATTCCCACCCACCCTCCCACCCTATTCATTATTAACATCACCATAGTTTCTTGGGCTCTCCCCTCCCCTGTTTTGATCTCTCTCCTTACTCCTCTGCAATATTCTAAGTTATTTTGTCTGATTTGAGACTCAGATTCACAGACCATGTTTGGGTTATATGTATATGTGTCTCTGTGTGTTTGGAGTACTTTTTGTCAGTATTTTTGTTTATTCAGATATGTTATGTAATAAAATTCATTGAGGTATAAAATCCAATATATACAAATATATAGTCATATAACTACAACCACACTCATGACCAATGACATTTCAGTCACAGGGAATAGAGTTCCCCCTACCCCAAAGCAACAACTGATTTGTGACCTTGTCACTATTGTCTTGGGTTTTCTAGAATTTCATGTAAATGGAATCATTCAAACCATAATGTTTTCTCAACATGATAATTTTCAGTAGTCAGTAGTTAGTTTTCACTTAACAGTGAATGAACTCCTCTTTCTGGATGCACCACAACTTACTTGTGAATTTACCAATCGTTGGACATTAGGATTGTTTCCAGTTTGGGGCTACTTCAATAAAGCTGCCTTCATATAAACAGATATTTTCACTTCATTAGATGGTTCATCAATATTTCACCTATATTCTACTACCTTGTTAATATCTATTATTAACTCTAGGAACTACACATCAACATACATAACCATTTCCTCTGTGAAGAAAGCCAGTTTTGTTTCTTTCCAACCTGTATGCCTCTTACTCATTTCTCTCACTTCTTTCTCTTATAGGACATCTTTTACAAAGATACTGGGGAGAGCAGATAACTTTGTTTTGTCCTGATGTTATGGGGGAAGCATTCAATCTTTTACTAGTTGGTGGATAGTTTTCTTAGCTGCTCTTTATCAAGTTGCAGAAGTTCCCTTCTAGAACTAATTTTCTGAGGGTTTTTGTCGTTGTCAGTGGGTCATTTTGTCAAGTAGATGATAAAATGTATCTCTATTTTGTAGTTTTTGATAAAGTTAATTGAAATACATGGACAGATTTTTCAACCCAACCTTGCATTTGCCAGAATGTGTCAACATTTATGTTCTTTTTGTTCTTCAAATAATTAGCATTTTTATGTATTGTTTATTTGATTTGCTTAAATTTTGTTAAGAACTCTTCTAGCCTTAGTCACATGAATCTTGACTGGTAGTTATTTGTTATTGTAACATTTCTCTCCTCTTGATGTTAGGGTAATGCTGGCCTCACCAAATGAGTTGGGAAGATATTATCTCTTTGTGTGAAATTGAGATGTTCCTCAATATTTGGTAGAAACCATCCCTGAGAACATCTGGGCCTGCTATTTTCTTTGTGGGAAGATTTTTAAGCCACAGTTCAATTTCTTTAGGACTGTTCAAGTTTATGGATTTCTTCTTGAGTAAGCTTTGGTACTTTGTGTTTCAGAAGTTGTTCATGTATTTTAGGTCATTGACTTTATTGCTGTAAAGTCATTACCAAGATTCCTTTGGTTTTCTTTTTTTTTTTAAGATTTACTTATTTATTTATGTGTACAAGAACTGGGGTACAGGCCAGAGATGTGGGGGGTGAGAGGATTCACCAAAGACAGAGTGGAGAGCAGAACAGGCAGGTGGAGTGAAATACACTGCTGACGGGAGCAGTGAGCTGGTGAGGAGAGGTCTGCTGAGCCATGTGGGCACCTCCTGGGTGGGGAATCGAACTCGCACTGAAGCAATGCTGCGTCCTAACCCATTGAGCCACCAGGGAGGGCCCAGTTTTTGAAACTCTATTATTATTAGGCTTAAAGTTCGGGCTGCTATGTCTTTACAATGAAATGACCCTTCTGTTTTGTTCTATTTCTTTCTAACCATGGCTAGATTCCTTGTTCTGAAGCCTAACTTATGTTGCAGTCACTCAAATGTTCATTTTCTTTTGATTTTTGTTTGTATGTTAAAGTTTTCTATCCTTTTACTGTGACTGATCTGTGTTTTTATATTTAAACTAGGATTCTTGTGGACAGAAGATAACTGGTTTTTTGTATTTTATCCACTCTTACAATGTCTACTCTTTGAGGTTTAGAACCATTTATAGTTTATGTAATTATTGACTTGGTTAGATTTAAGTCTGTCTCCTAGCTCTTTGCTGTTTTGTCCAATCTGTACTGCATGATATGGTGAAGTACCCCAGGAAAAAGGAGAATGATAAAAATGAAAATTTGAGTCTACACAAAGCAGCCTAAAGAGCACCAGAAATGGTAAATATTCATATGAATATGAAACACATTTTTCACTTTAAATACATTTAAAGGATAATTTGCTCTTTAAGTAATATGAACATTATGCTTAATAACAATGAGTTATGAACAAATGTATTCAGGAGCCTAGTGTGAAGTACTTTTGGAAGTGAAATGGATGCCTTTGATTACTCTCCAATGTCTGCAGTTCTGAAGGCGCTAATTGTGTCTTGTATTGAGAGGCCTTGTATTATGGCTTGGTGTATTCAGAGTCATGTCCAACCTCCATTAATATTTGGAGTATCTCTGTAACAAGAACATTCCCAGAGTACTTTACCCCAAAAAGGTAAGGGATCTTGGAAAAGAGAACTTCAGTTGACCTTGTTGGGACCAGGTGGCCCCTACTGGCTATGGCCTCAAAGTCTAAAACGTGTGCAGATGAGGCTAACTGTTGGCCAAGGCAGCCTGTACCACAAAGATCACAGCCAACATTTGGTGTGGACCTGGATCCTGTCCTTTATCTGTGTAGAGTACAGATTGAAAATAAGCTCCTTCAGGGGTGGTGGAGATGCTGTCTTCTTTAGGGCCCAGAAACCCCCAGCTGTTCACTCAGCCAGCCCCAGGGGGCTCCCCAGTATCCAAGAGGTCTGGAAGAGGTCCTCCAGCACTGCATGGGAGGAAGATGGTTGGTTCTGTCTAAGATACATACCACTTTCATTGCAGCAAGGAGGTTTGGGAGCCATGTCAAGCTGTGAGTGATTTGTCATGCAACAATAAATAAGTGAAACAAATAATAGCCAATATTT